CTTGTTACTTCTTCCTTCAATTTTGCTATGGATTCTGGATTATCAGCTACCTTCAGTATAGTTGAATGTTTATATAGATGACGCACGCACAGCAAAATTTTCACACCAGCTAAGTGTGGATTTCTGTTGTATTATTCTCATAATTCTTAACCACCATAGCTCGCCTCTGCATCATCGTCATCAGGGAGGGGGCAATGGCTACTGGGGATGGGGAAGAAGCTGACATCCATATTTTCTGCTGCATTTTACACATTCACGCACATTAAGTACAAATCTCAGGCGCATTAGACACAACACTCACGCACATTGAGTACAAATCTCACGCACATTAATCAACCGCACAACTGCACGGGAAGTATTCAACCGCATGGGAACCTTTCACTATATATATATATATATATATATATATATATAATATATATATATATATATATATATATATATATATATATATATATATATATATATATATATATATATGTAACTAATGCATGGAACATGAATAAGCTAAGCAATATATATATATATATATATATATATATATATATATATATATATATATATATATTAACTTAAATACTCCTTTTCACGCAAGCTGCAAACGAAACGAACGAATGAATGCCAACGAAACCAACGAAAGAAAGCCAACGAAACTACTTATTCGTGTGATCCAACGAATTGAACAAAAAGCATGCTCCATCAACTCGTTAAACCCGAATCAATGCTTTCGTTAAATTCCTTCGGTCGAATTGATAACTAACGAAATGAACAATCAGCTATCCACTCGTTAAATAACGAATTGATACAACCGAATCTTCCGTTTAATTAATGAATTGTGCCACATTTCATATTTAAACGAATCAATTCGTCAAGCTCACCGAATTGATTAATACATTCATTAAATATCAACAATTCGTTAAAACCAACGAATCATTAAAACCAATGAATCATGCATATCAATCTAAGTACTATTCGATTTCAATCGTACGCAATATTCATATTTCCCAACTTTCTTTCTACTAAACTAAAATAATATTTATAACTCCACAACTCCAAATATTATTTAAGCTTTTCATGGTAGTACATCTGAAACATTAATCTCCATTACTATATAAATTTCTAACAAGTTGCTTTGTTTAAGAATTTCTTGTAGAAATGTATTTGAATAGTTTAAAGCAGTTAGCATAGCAGTTAGTTAGTTATCCATCAAGGCAGTTAGTTTTCTGTTAATTGTAACAGTTAGTACTAGTAGTATAAGAAGTCTAAAGTCTCTGTATTTTTCGAATCAGTTAACTGAATACACAGAGCTCTTCTTCTTCCTTTCTTCATTCCTACTTTCGTCATATGGTATCAGAGCCCTAAGCCACGCTTATGGCTTGGAACAACAGACCTGATATTGGGACTTCGACAGTTCCGGCAGCTCCGACGCCTGGTGCACCAACGACGGCCAACCCCAATGTCGCTGAAGCTACATTCGATCCAAACGACGTTGCTAGCCCGTTCTTCTTGCATCCTAGCGAGAATCCAGCCTTCATTCTAAGTCTCCACACCCCTTGATGGCCAGAATTATCATCCTTGGCCCAGGGTGATGGAGATGTCGCTGTTAACAAAGAGCAAGCTAGGGTTCGTTGATGGCACAATTGCAATGCCAGGAGTTGGGGAAGTCAAATACCCCTACTGGAAGAGGTACAATAACGTGGTAGCGACATGGATTATGCGATCTGTCTCCTCAGAAATCACCCAGATAGTTCTTTGGGTAGGAACGGCAGAGAGAATATGGAATACACTGAAGGCAAGGTTCAGTGAGGCAGACATTTTCAGAATCTCCGACCTTCACGCTGAAATACATCAAGTAAGGCAAGGAGATTTGACTGTAAGTGCTTACTTTGCTAAATTTAAAGTTTTATGGGATGAACTTCAAGTCATAAGACCGCTGCCTACTTGTAAATGTGAGAAGAAGTGTGATTGTGGATTACTGGAAACTCTTGAGCAGCAATTAAAAAGTGACAATTTATCTGTATTTTTGAGAGGTCTCAATGATACGTATACTTCTGCTCAGTCTCAAATCATGATGACTAAGCCCCTTCCGACTGTTGATGAGGCATTTATGATGATTCAACAGCAAGAAAGAAGATTCAACAGCACAGGAGCTAATCTGCAAATTCAAGAAGCAGGTAGCATTCTGTTTACCCAAGGCAGTTCAGGTCAAAAGAAATTCTCTGCAAACAACAGCAACAAGAAGCCCATTTGTTCATACTTTGGCTACACTGGCCACACAATAGAAAAATGCTACAAGAAACATGGCTATCCACCAGGTTGGATGCCAAGAAATAGAAATACTGGCTCTGTCAATCAGGTGCAGCTCACATCAAATGAGCCCCTCAGTCAAGAAGGAACTGGATCTATCATATTAAGCCAAGAAGAGTATAGATTGCTCAAACAGGTTTTTCAAAGGGATAGTATGGCTCACAGCTTCTCACCCTTGAATGAGGTTGGAGTGACACCACAGGCCAATCTGATTGCTGCCAATTTTGTTCCCAGTTCACTGATTGAAGGTACTCACCCTAAAATCCTTCTTGATACCAAGACTTGTTGAATACTAGATAGTGGTGCTACCCACCATGTTGTCTATCACCATAGCTTATTGACAAATGCTAGAAAGGTTGGGGGTATGTTTGTTGAATTACCAAATGGTGATAAAGTGAGATTACACACATAGGATCCACACATGCTGACAGATTAATCCTACAGAATGTCTTTTGTGTCCCTGCTTTCCATTATAATTTGATCTCTGTCAGTGAGTTGATTAAAACTTCCAAGTGCAAGTTGCTTTTGTATTCTGATCTTTGTATAATACATGATCAGGATTGTGGGAAGATGATTGGCTTGGCTAGCTTGCAGAAAGGACTGTATCATCTTGTAAAACCTCAATTTCCTGCTCTTAATAGAATAGGGCATATTAGAGCTAATGCTTGTAACTCTCGCAGTAATTGGCATGCTAGGTTAGGACATTGTTCACATGAAAAGCTGAGACAATTGTCTGTGTTGGATGTAAATCTGAGAGTGAATAAGATTGATGTTTGCAATATATGTCACTTAGCCAAACAAAAGCGGTTGTCCTTTAATACTAGCATTTCTGTTTCCAGTGATTGTTTTGAGCTTGTGCATATTGATATTTGGGGCCCATATCATGCACATACCATCTATGGACACAGGTTCTTTCTAACAATGTATTAGAATAGTTTAAAGCAGTTAGCATAGCAGTTAGTTAGTTAGCCATCAAGGCAGTTAGTTTTTGTTAATTGTAACAGTTAGTACTAGTAGTATAAGAAGTCTAAAGTCTCTGTATTCTTCGAATCAGTTAATTGAATACTCAGAGCTCTTCTTCTTCCTTTCTTCATTCCTACTTTCGTCATAAAATGTAGCACTGTGATATATCTCAGTTTAATGCAAGTTTATTGCATGTCATATTTTCAGATGTTTCTTAATGCAAGTTTATTGCATGTCATATTTTCAGATGTTTCTTTTTTCTTTTCTTTGAATTATATATATATATATATATATATATATATATATATATATTATTCATAGAAAAGAGAAAAATTTATACACATCACATATATTATGCGCAAAGCTGTGAATAATATAATGTTTATGTACGGTTGTTGTGAATACAAATGTGTATGCTTTTGATACAATAGGTCCTACTAAGCTTCTTTGATTTGAAAAGGTAAGGACATAGTGTTAGAAAAGTGGAAAAGAATACATAAATTAAAAGTGTTTACAGTTCTGCATTCATATATGAAATTAGCTATTTGACCATTAGTTTATTAATTAATTAATACAAAACTGGAATATAATGTTTTCTTCTAATTAAGTTTTACTAGCCATTGAATGGGGAAATCTTTTGGCCAAGGATTGAAGGTGATGAAATACTTGCTCCTGTTCCAAAGAAGATGACTGGTAGGCCAAAGAAAAAAAAAAAAGCTTGAAGAAAATGAAAAAAACAAGCAAAAAATGAGTGAAGAGTTAGAAAGTTGTCTAAAAAAGGAAGAATTATGACATGTCAATTATGCAAGGGAAATAGACATAACAAACGATTTTGTCCTACACTGTCAACCCAACAAGCAGAATCTGCTGGTTCTTCTACTGTTAGAGGAAGAGTGATGGTTCTTCTGCTGTTGGAGGAAGAGGAAGACCATCGACTGTTGTGAGAGGGAGAGTGAGAGGAGGAGGGAGAGGAAGTGGAAGAGCGACAGACTTGTCTCAGGAAAGCTTTGTTAGAATGTCAGGTAAATTAATTGAACATAATGCGAATTTAAATAACTCATGTAGATGGCTCTTAGCAGTTTATGATTAATTGACAATGCTTTCTTCTTTTCTGTAGCTTGCGCAGAGTGAAGCTCAATGGGACCATGAAGGCAAATGAAGATTGATGGAGTCACTTTTTTTTTCTCTTTATTTTTATTTTTATTTTTATTTTTATTTTTATTTTTGTTAACTAGCTGGTGTTTATAGCTACTATATATGTATGATTTTGTTTTTTAACTAGCTAGTAGATTATGAATTCAGTGTTTATTTTGTTTTGTTCTTCGCAATGTATATATATATATATATATATATATATATATATATATATATATATTACAGTTTATATTAGTAACTTCATTTCATTTTTTTTTTAATTTCACTTGGTTTAGTTGTTGACCATCTAAATGGTTTTATGTGGATGAGTAAGAAATATACATTCAAAGTGCTGATGGATATATTTATGTTGGAAAATACAAAAAAAAAAAAAATAGCATTTCTATAAATTAGGAAAACTAGAAAAATACTAAACAAAAAATTAGCCAAAAAATATAAATTCTCGAAAAAAAAAGAAAATTGAAACATTGGAATTGAAAAATTGAAAAATTATAAATTTTGAAAATAAAGAGAAGAAAATTATGGTGTTTTTAATATAATAATTTTTATTTTTCAAATTTTAAATATGTAAATGCTTACATGGACAACATAAGGTAAAGAGAAATCCCACATCAGGCGCCATGTCAGCTGGAAGATATGATAACCTGCTAAAAGTTCTAGGTGATTTTTGTTTTTTCTTGATTTGTGGCTTGATATATACGATATGAAAGGTCATGGTGCGGGATGAATAATCAAATATGGTTCATGGTGCTAGATGCCACTTTAGCCAAGTGTAAATTATTTTATCCTACACCAAATTACACCAAATTGGTTATTGTTATTAACAAGCTCGATCTAACAACATATCTGTCCTTACTTTATCGGTAATCAAAATAGGCTCTTCAATTACTTCCCTAGATAATTAACAACCCTAAGCAAACCCTTAGGATTTAATTAACTATCAGCATTAAGAATTAGAAAGACTACCAATTCTAGCCAACAGACTCGCAAGCACAGTCCATTTAAACTGACTATACATCTCTATAACATAAGATTGAAATAATCAACTATGTTATTTTACGACTAAGGTTTAGAACACTTAAACAATTACAGATTTAAGAATTCGAAATGGCAATTTACTGGATTGAAAATTGAACAACGGATCCTTTTTGTACAATTAATCAAAGCAGTAATATCAAGATAATAGAAGGCATATAAATAGTGTAGCATAAAAGAAAATCAAAGTAGATCTCACAATTCTAAAAGAACCAAAACTTCAATTATTCTTGAGTTGGAAAATAACTTAACAACACATCATAATAAAATGTACTGACTGTCTTCTATTGAATAATTCAGGCCTATTTATACTAATTTCAGCACCCTAATCAGCTAAAAATGATTCTTTTTTTTTTGAATGTAGCTAAAAATGATTCTAATTTCCCTAACATCCTCAAATTGAATCAATTTCTTCAATCACATAAAACCTAGAAAATAAATAACATTTATTTTTTAAATCCTATGCACCAAAGAAAATAAGCTCCAGTTGATTTCGTCCATTTGTGGTAGCAGACTAGCAGTTCGAAGCAACCGCATAAGTCGTTCGCCCATGGAGTCATTCATCGCAGCAGACCACGAACGGAGTTCCCATTGTTGGTGCATACAGATGAAGAAACGGCATCATTTTACTTAAAAAAAAATCATTTTCGATTGCCGTTAGTTACGTAAACATATGTTCCTAATTTTATAATTTCACATTCTATATTTATAGTTATGAAATTATGGATGTGTAGTTATGCAATTCTGAATGTATACTTATGAAGTTATAATTTCACATTCTGAATGTATAGTTATGAAGTTATGGATGTGTAGTTATGCAATTTTGAATGTATAGTTATGAAGTTATGGATGTGTAGTTATGCATGCAATTCTGAATGTATAGTTATGAAGTTATGGGTGTGTAGTTATGCAATTCTGAATGTATAGTTATGAAGTTATGAATGTGTAGTTATACAATTCTGGATTTATAGTTATGAAATTATGGATGTGTAGTTATGCAATTCTGGATGTATAGTTATGGAGTTATGGATGTGTAGTTATACAATTCAGGATTTATAGTTATGAAGTTATTGCTGTGTTGTTATGCAATTCTGGATGTATAGTTATGAAGTTATGGATGTGTAGTTATGCAATTTTAATTTTTTTTTTTTAAAGTTGGACGTCAAAACGACGTCGTTTTTGCAACCGTGTGCACCATGCATGGTGCACACGCCTGCACCATGCATGTGTAGTTTGGGGCTTTGGGCTGTTGAAATCAAAAAATAAATAAAACATGTAAGTTGGGCCAAATGAAACAAAAAAGAAAAAAGAATTAACCTACTTTATTTCCACCTAGCCCAACTCTTATTAATTAACAAATGTATTCCCAATGGCACAAAAATGACATTTAAACTTAAATTATTCAAATACCTATTATATTAATACAAAATATAAAATAAAATTTAAAATAAATATAATATTAAATAAATAAAACTAATTTATTATAATAAATTATCTAAATTATATATATAAATCCTACTTTTAGGAATATATTGTATAAGTTTTGATGAGCCAAATGTATTTTGTAGACCCCAATTTTATTTTATTTGAGTCAGTTCTGGTTCACAAAGTATAGTGCACCACTGCCATGTAGTCTAAGTGAAAGCAACTTTGAAGGAAGAATAAATGAAAGCGGGATCATAGCTTAACACATTTATTAAGCATCAAATCATCAAAGGTTGAGATGGATGAGATGGTAGAAAACTTATTGAAGCATGCTTGATACTTGATGATCCACAGTTTGAATCCCATTGGAAGCATTTTTGGTGTAAAGAGAAATGCTATCATGAAGTTGTGATATCGGGAAGTAATATCAGGAAGTGATATCGGGTAGAACTATCATGAAGAAACACTTTTATAACATGATAGTAAAATATATCGAATGATGACGTCACTACTATCGGATGATGACATCACAGTGTGGTATGGCTTGAGAAACCCACGTGAAGAGATAAGACAAAAGAATTTAAGTCTTGAAAAGTATCAATTGGTTGCCTAGTCGAGATGGAAGAAGCTTTGTAAAGCAAACCAAATGATCCATAGTTTGACTCCCACTCAAAGTAATTTTATGAATACATGATATCAAGATCATGATAGTATCGTAACATGATACTAGTTCATGTTATAAGGTGGAACATGATATACTATTGGGACATGACATCATCAAAGGAGCTATGACATCATCAAAGGAGCTATGACATCATCATGACAAAATAGTTAGACAGAAACATTCTTTTGAAACTCTATTTCTGCGAAGGAAGTCTAAGGAGAAGAAGAAGCTGATATACGAAGGAAATCTTTTTAATACTCAAGCAAGAATCAGCAGATAAATTATTTGATCAACTTGGCACATCAGATCAATAATTCATCAAAAGTCATGCCAAAGAAATTCAAATTTGGAGGCTACCCATTCCAAAGAAAAGTTTTGTCAGATTAAAGGAGAACAACGACAAGATTACTCAAAATCTTCTAACAGACGGCGAAATGATTTTGCAGACCAAGTTGGCAAAATTATTTGATCAACTACAATTCAAATTGGACGATCAAGATCGAAAGTTGATCAACGGGCAAATAGCTTTCATTGGCTATAAAATGCCCAAGCAGACTTGAAGACAAGCAGAGATCAAGAGATTTACAAAACACTTGAACAACGAAGAAAATTATCCAATCAATCATCAAGTGATATATTGAGCTATACACGATTAAATTCAAGTCTGAGTGAGAGAAAAATTGTATTTCATTGTAAATCTTCTACTGAGTGTAGAAAAGGGGTAGAGTAACTGGAGAGAGTGAAAAACCCAGTTGGAGTGTAGCTTTGTGCGTAGCACTCGGTTGTAACGGGCAGAGTAACAAGGGGAGCTTGTGAAAACCCGGTGAGAGCGTATCTTGGTGTGTAGTTCTTGTGGTGTAGGAGTATAGCTTGGTGCGAAGTACTCGGGAAGGCGGAGTAACAAGAAGAGCTTGCGAAAGACCTTGGTGGAGTGTAGCTTTGTGCGAAGCACTCGGAGAAGTGTCGCTGGACACTTATTCACTATTGTATCTGGGTGATCGAAGAATAGTGAATTTCCTCCTTGGAGTGAAAGGAGAAGAGTGGACTAGGAGGATTACACCACCTCTGAACCACTATAAATCTCTCTCTCTATTTACTTACTGCTCATTTAATTTCATGCATGCTTATATCATCTGTGAACTAACCCGTTACGATTTATCGCGTATCTTTATCTGTCTGGGTTTGATAGTTCCCTCGTTTGCATGCAAGTGAAATTTTACATACATCATCCTTAATCTATATCAAGTGTTTCTAAAGTAATGCATGTATAGAATCTCTCTTTGAGCACGACACAATTAAAGCATAACACTTTGCCATTACATTTTCCGTTGTGCACACTCTAAGTTGTTATACTTGTTTATGCTTGTTACTTAGAGTTGAAGTTACCAAAGCGTTGTTGCTAAAGAAGTTAAAAAGCGAGAGAAGTCTATTCACCCCCCCTCTAGACTTCTCGCCACCCCTTTCGGGACCAACACCTACTTATCAATATACTTGTGGGTAGCCTGGTTTGTTAGCAATTATATCAGGGACCATGGTTCACAAAGCTTTGTAGGCCATGATCCAAAAACGACGCCGTTTCTTTAAGTAAAGAAATGGCAGCCGTTACAGCTTAACGGAGCGCGTATTTTTGGTGTGTTAATTACAAAATGAAACTACAGTGTATCTAAACTGAAACTGCCTCACATATTGTTTTTATATTATCAAATGAAACTGCAATTGAATTGAAACGAAACTATAGTAGTGTTGAAATGAAACTACAGTGTATACAAAATGAAACCGAATAATAAATTCACATATTTGAGTGTATATTATCCAATGAACCTGTAGTTATATCAAAACGATATTGTAGTTGTGTTGTAATAAAATTATAGTGTATGTGTATGTAAAATGAAACCGAATAATAGTTTCACATATTTGTGTGTATAATGTCGAATGAAACTACAGTTATATCAAAATGAAACTGAATAACATTTCAAATATTTTAGTGTATCTGTAGTTATACTGAAATGATAATGTAGTTGTGTTGTAATGAAACTATAGTATATATAAAATGAAACTAAATAACAATTTCACATATTTGAGTGTATAATGTCGAATGAAACTGTAGTTATATCGAAATGAAACTGTAGTTATATTGAAAAGAAACTGTAGTTGTGTTGAAATGAAACTGTAGTGTATACAAAATGAAACTGAATATGTTATACAAACAGAGTTATTTTTGCGAACGGTGCGGAACAGGTGTTGTTTGTTTTCATTAAAAGAAACGACACTGTTTTGATGCCTGGACCACAATGCATCGTGGACTGCAGTCCACAGTATAATTTTCCCTGGTGTGTGGTAAACAATTGTTATACCGTGGACCATGGTCCACACATCGTTGTATAGACCATGATCGTCGAATGAAACTATAGTAGAATTAAAATGATACTTTAGTGTTACTATAATGAAACTAGTGTGTGTGGAAAATGAAACTACAAAATAGGGCACATTATTGTCAAATGAAACTGTAGTATAATTAAAATGATACTTTAGTATGACTATAATGAAACTAGTGTGCATGGAAAATAAAACTAAAATACAGAGCCATGCATATAATAACATATATTGTCAAATGACCTGAAGTGAAAATAAAATAATACTTCAACATTACTATAGTTAATGAAAATTTCAATTTTGGTCCACTAACTATTAGAGGTGTGTTAATTGCAGCACTTGACTATTAAAACTGTTAATTTAGTACCTTGACTATGCGATTTTTATCAATTTTGGTCACGCCAGCCAAATTAAGGGCGATTTCTTACCGGAAAAATGCGAGTCAACCAATTCTCCGATTTGGCAGGGGCAAAATAGGGATTTCATGTTGCTTCTACGATTTGTTTCTTCGGGTTGTTGACTAAAGGAGAACCTGACCAGCAATTGAAGATTTTATACCCGCCTAATTCTTCTTGCCCTACATCAAAAGTGTGTCGCTGGTTGTTGTTCCTTCCCAGACGAATCAAAGGCATTTAGAAGGAAGAGGAAGATGGAGATTGGTTCAATGTAGACGAAGGTTTCAGCGCTGCGATTCCTCTTACGTGGGTATGAGTAGTGTATATTCTTCTTCTTCTTCCACTACTGGTAATGAGTACTATGAATTTGGGGAAAGGTTCCCAATTCTCCATTGTAGATGTGGTTACCAGCTCAAGATTCGAACTTCATGGACTAATGAGAATCCAGGTCGAAGATTTTGGCAGTGCTCCGGTGGTGGTGTAAGTAAATTTCGTTTATTTTTTATTATTTTTTTTCAGTGTTCCTGTTGGAAAAGAATTTGATTTCGTTTTCGTTTGGTTTGTGAATTTTGTATAAATCAGAGTCACAGGCAGGTTGGGTGTGGATTTGTGGATTGGTATGATCCTCCAATGTGCTACCGTTCGAAGCAAATAATTCTGGGATTGCTTAAACACATAAATAGGCTAGAGGAAGATATAAGAATACTGCATATGAAGAAGATTGAAGGTGACAAGAAGGAGGCTGGAAATGTGTTTAAGAAGATTGTAGGAATAATGCTTTTAATTTTTGTATGTTATATTGGTATTAAGTATTGTGGGCTTGTGGCAGTTATATCTGAAATGGCCTTTGAATTGTAGTTGTATGCAATGGCCTTTGAATTGTAGTTGTATGCAATGACCTTTGAATTGTAATGTATGAAGTTATCCATTTGGTAATGAATTGGTCATTTGGAATAAATTGTTCATTTGCAAACTGTCATTTGGTAATGAATTGTTAATTTGCAAGCTGTCATTTTCAAAACAGGTGATCAGGTAATGAAAAGTTGCAATACAGTTTGCATTTCAAAAGCCAAAAACTTAGCATTTGCATTTGAAATTCTAGTGTCAATACAGTTTCAATAGCCAAAAACCAATACAACTTAGCATTTGCATTTCAAAAGACAAAAACCACTACTTTTGCAATTGTCCAGTACAGTCTAAAAACCCCAAAACCATATGCTAAACTTAATTCACTCAATGTTGATAGGGTCATCATTGTTTCCATGGAATTTGGACTTGAATGTGGTCTTACTCCTTGTATAGTAGGGCTTCTTCCGATTCGATTGCCTTGTTTTTGAGGCCTTGCTGTTGCCTCCTTGATCAGCAGAGTCCTCCTGCTTAATAGGAACTGAATGACTAGCTTCCCCCTGCTGCTGCCTAGGCACAGGATTTGTAGGTTCCTCCTGCTGGCTAGGTTCTTGATCAGTAGCTTCCCCTTGCTGATGTTGCTGCCTAGGAACCTTTGAAGTGTTCTTGATGGGTATTTGTTTGGTGGAATAAATGGCCCTTTTGTTTGGCTTCAAGCAAAACAATAACATTGTGTAAGTGGGTGTTTAAAAAAAAAGCATAAATTAATGTAGCCAGCTTTAATTGAGTATAATACCTTTTGTTTTGGGTTTGGATTTGAAGGACATTTTCTTGAATTGTGGCCAGCTTTCTTGCAAATAGTGCAATGCAATAAGATATGCTTTCAACTTTGGCTCCACCTCTCCACCAGATCTCAGTCTAAGCTTTTTTGGTCTTCCAACCCTGGCAGAATAGATAGGTGGCTGTGGGGGATCTTTGGTAATTACTGGCCATTCATCAGGCCCTGCCATGGTGGTTAATGGAGCAACTATAAATCTTCATATATGTTTCCTTGGAATAACAAGGATGGACATAATCATAGTGTGCTCCTTGCCCATATTTCTTCCAAATTGAACAGATTGCATGCTTGCAAGGAATCCCAGTTAAATCCCAAACCCTACATGAACAAGTTTTCCTTTCCAGATCCACCTGATGTTGGGCCCCATATAACTGTTGCACCTCAAATTTGAAAAAGTCACATTGAGTGGCCAAACACCCTGATGCATGCTTCTCTATTTTCTTCAATTTTCCCACAATTGATGGACATATCATTGAATTCCATCCAGCTGCTTTTTGTCTTTGCTCAAAAAACTTAGTCATTAACATTTTCCTTATAGTCTCTAGGCAGTCTATGATTGGTTGATCCCTAGCACCAAGTAATGCTGCATTGAATGACTCACATATGTTGTTTACCAACATATCATAGTGAGTGTGTGTTGAGAAGTGAGACCTACTATACTCTGTCGGAGACTTGTGACCAAACCATTGATAAGCTGCTTCATCTAAGGCCCTAAGCTAGCGTAGTGCACTTGTATAAGAATTCCGAGTTGTTGCCCTAGCGCATTCCCAAAGAGCATCCTTCAATGCCTTCCCTTGAAACCCTGCCACTTTCATGTTTGAGTGGAGGTGCCTCACACAAAACCTGTGCTCCACACCAGGTATGATTTCTTCAAATGCTGGGAGCAAACCTTTCTGCTTATCACTTATAAAAGTATACTCCTGTTCTTTATATTTTGTTATCCCCAAGTCTTCAGCTAGGAAGTTTAGAAACCAAGACCAAGACTCCCTCTTCTCCCCATCAATAATAGCATAGGCAAGTGGGAAAATACTGTGATTAGCATCAACACCCACTGCAGTCAGGAGCATCCCACCAGATCCACTTCTCAAATGACATCCATCCACACCTATTAGAGGTCTACCATGTCTGAATCCTTGTTTGGAAGCATCCCAGCAAATGTACATTCTTAAGAATCTTTCCTGCCCAGTTTCCCCATCTTGCAAGTCACTGAGCTTCACTTTATACCTAGTCCTAGGGTTTGTCATATCTATTTCAGCACAGTAGCTCCATATCTTCTTGAAGTTGTCTTCAGCATCACCAAATCTTTGTTTCTTGGCTTTCCACATAGCCCTGTAGGCTTGTTGATCACTTAAATAGAACCCCTCTTCACTTGTAACTGTATCTCTGAATTTTTTCATCATCCATTCTGGGTTGTTATTTAATTGTTTGGCCCACCTCTTTGCAACCACAACAGCTTTTACCATTGAATTCTCCCAAACCCAAGAACAACCTTCATGCACATCAACCATGTTCAAAATCCTCCAAGCATGTGAGTGAAACACTTTCCTCAGTCCTATTCTCCCAGGAAAACCATCCTGTGAACACTCAACTATAACCCTCAAAGCATCATTCCTAACAGTTCTGATATCTTTCCCATTTTTGAAACCATAATTCTGCACTGCTTCTCTAAATTGTTTCTTAGAGGCAAAGGTCATGCCTAATTTAAACTCTGGATCATTCATGTCAGTAGCTTCTCTAAAAACAGGCCATTTACTTTCCCCTTCACTGTCAGATTCAACTACAGAAGCATCATCAGAAAAATTAATCTCATCCCAATCATATGAGACTATTTAACATTGTTCTTCCTGTTCTTTGGTTAACTCTGGATCAATCATGTTTAACTGTGGTTCATTCATGTTTACCTCTGGTTCATTCATGGATAACTCTGCCTCATTCATGGATAACTCTGCCTTGGCATCCTTATTCAAACACTTAACTTCAAACACTCAACCTCAACCTCTAACTCACTTTCCCATTCACCCTCACACTCAAGTTCATTAACTTCAGCTTGAAAAAAATCATTTCCATCCATAGTTTCTATCCAAATCTCCAAAATTTTACCTTCATCATCTGCTTCTCTAAGACAATTTGCAACATCTATATCATTTTGTAGTAACTTACACATACCATGTCCACCATGATAAATGTATGCTCCTATTGAAGAATACCCTAGATCTTCAATCTTATCCTTAAAGAATTGTATACAGAGATCATTAGCTTGCACCTTGTCATATATTTCTACATCACCCCCCCATGTATTTAATTTCACCTTGCCAATTAATTACACCATTATGGAAGATAAACACATGAAAAGGGCCAAGATCATCTCATGTAAAGCAGCCACATAATAAAATAACTATATAAACGACATATAAGTTCTCTTAACTCGAATATAGACATAGTGGTCCCACATAGCTCAGCATATACACAGAACACAACAAAGGCATAAATAATTTGGTACCCACAAAGAATAATATATCAACAGAAACATACAAACAAATGAACACTCAACTTTAAGCTCAATTTGGTCCCCACAAGATTCCACAACACCCACCGAGCACTCAAATGAACACTCAACTTTAAGCTAAATTTCATCCCCACATATAAGTTTCTGAGCATATTTAAAGAACAATAACACCCACTGAACACTGAACTGAACAATCAACTTTAATCTAAAAATTGGTCCCCACATGTAAGTTACTGAGCATATTTAAAGCACACTAACACCCCCTGCCAAATTCAGACAAATTAAGTAAAGTAATCTGAAATACTTACCACTGACAGCCATTAAAGTTCCTGGTATGCAGCGCGAGTAAATGGAGACTGGTTCACTTCACTGTAGCGCGAGTAAATGGAGCTTTCTTCCTTCGTCGATGGAGTCTGATTCTCTTCACTGGAGCTTTCTCTGAACTGAGCGTTCTCTTCACTGGAGCTTTCTTCCTTCGTCGAATGAATTAGGTTTCACAGGTGGGTAATCGAGTCAATTAGAATTAGGCGGGTAGAAAATCTTCACTTGCGGGTCGGGTTCTCCTTTGGTCATCAACCCGAAGAAACAAATCGTAGAAGCAACATGAAATCCCTCTTTTGCCCTTGCCAAATCGGAGAATTGGTTGACTCGCGTTTTTCCGGTAATAAATCGCCCTTAATTTGGCCAGCGTGACCAAAATTGATAAAAATCGAATAGTCAAGGTACTAAATTAACAGTTTTAATAGTCAAGTGCTGCAATTAACACACCTCTAATAGTCAGTGGACCAAAATTGAAATTTTCTCCTATAGTTAAACTAGTATGTGTGGAAAATGAAACTAAAAAATAGAGCTCAAGCAATAATGTATGTCATCAAATGAAACTATAGTAAATTTAAAATGATATACTTTAGTATTGCTATAATGAAACTAGTGTGGATGGAAAATGAAACTAAAATACATAACAATAACGTCAAATGAAACTGAAGTGTAATTAAAATCATACATACTTGTAGTCCTCAAATGAAACTGAAGTGTAATTAAAATCATACATACTTGTAGTCCATGATGCTACATAGACCATGGACCACAGTAAAATTTGTTGTGGTACACTGTTGAAAGTTCCTATGTGCAATGGGTATTGTTATATTGTGCATTTGATAGTGTAGTGTCCTCTGTTATGAAGGTCCCTATGTGGTGCAAAGGTTGAGGTTGCCCTGCAAGAACCAAGTTTTTTGTGGGTCCCGAAAGAGAGAGAAATGACAAAAGAGAGCTGCAGTCCTATGCATTTGGGGCACATCTAGCGTTTTTCCCATTTTTTTCATTTTTACGTATAATTTTACTTTTCCCTATTTTTCCCCTCTTTTTTATTCTCTTTTTTTTTTCCTTCACTTTCATACATGTCCTACAAAAACCAATGCTAAAATCCAAACAAATGAGGATGCTCTTAGTAGAATGTAAGAACAAACACGGTTATGGTGCATACAAAGTTCTATTAAATGCACCAAGTGAATTTGGGAAATGCACACTGATATTGTTATCCTCCAAAGATGCTCAAAACTAAGAGTAGTGTTTCACAGGAAATAAAATTAGAATGCACGAGGCTAAATGATGCGTAGTATATTTGCAAATAAATAAAACTCAGAGTATGAGTTATCGATCCACAGGGAA